CTTTCCCTTCTTTTATTTCAGAAACATGAAACATACTCTACTTATTACTATTATCATCCTCTTAACTTTTTATCTGAACGGTGCTTTTGCACTTAGCACTGCAGAACGTACCCGACTATAAGCAGAACAACACTACCCAGTCATCTGTCCTCACACTTCCATGCCACCAGACAGAAGGGTTTTATATGGAGTGCTTCATTTTAAGTTTCATTATCTTCCAAAACAGCACAATTACATATTGTGATTTAACATTTTTGTGATCTACATTCATAAAGGGTATTTTTTTTTTTAAATCAAAGTTTCACAGTCAGAATTAGGATACTACCAAAAAACCCACCACCTCTTCAAGTTTTTTCTAGGATACTAGAAAAAAACCAAACCAGAACAAAACATCACATCCAATCACACTACATCAGATAAATCCAAGCAAAATGCAAGTCTGCACCCTGTACAATTCCATGTGCACCTAATCTTTTGTTCTTCTATCAAGAAAAAAAAGGGCAGCTTCCACACGATGATGGCTGGAAGTTTTCAGTGTGACCTGAAACCACTTCACCTTTTATTTGGATACAAGACCACTGAGCAATTTTCCAGGGAACATGAGTATCAAAGATTCTACTGAACTGTTTTCTAGTGTATCAGACAGAAGGTTAGTTTTGTTTGTTTGTTTTTAAATAATTTTACACAGAAAATTCACACGAAAGATATGAGCTATCCACACTCCTCTCACACATATATGCGTATTCTCCCAATCCTCTCAGAAACTCCAAGTGTGAAGAGAGAATCCAAACATTTGGCACAGCACTATCCTGAATGTCTTTAAAATACAATCTTCGATTTTCCAACCCTCTATACAACTTACATAGTTTTTCCATTTACACTGTAGATATATATAAAAAACCCCTCTCAATCCATTTTTGGGTTATATATCAAAGCAATTGTTTTCCTAGAAAAAATTACTTACATTTCATCAAATCTTAAGAGCAATTTATACTTATACTTTACCACAATTTACAATCTACATTTCTGATCAATTATTTTAGCCAAAATGATCTTTAATATGGTTCCAAATTATCCCAGGATATGCTTTTTCATGTTCATTATTAATTTCTGAGATAATAATTCTACTTACAAATTATTTAGCTGTCATAGCTGTCAGTACAGCTCAATATCAAAGCTAAGGCATTTTTTGTGCATTATGACCCAAGAATCTTCTGACATTCAGCCAGTTATCCCAAGGCAGTGCAGAAATTAAAATAAATCAAATACAGGAAGTTTAACATTGACTCAGAGATGTCAAACTGTCCTGAAACGGGCTGTAAAAATTCGAAGTATTTTTGCTGCATCATTCTCCTACCTACTACTTACTGCAGGTAATTCTGAGCCAAGACACAGAATTCAGCAGTTCAGTCAAAACTTCCTTTCAGTGTATAGAACTGCATTGAAACAGTGCATGCTCATTAACATCCAGATTTAACTGGAACACTAACAAACTAGACTGATAAACTACACACAAAGGAAACACAAGAAACACAGAAAACCTCCCCCGTTAAGGCAGGCTACAGAAGAAAATGCCAGATGGTTCTACAGTTCTTCCTGACTCAAATCATCAAGGGCAATTCTGGTAAAACTGTTCTTTGTCCTCCTCCCTGCTACTATGCTGAGGAATCATTAAACAGTTCCACTATTTTATTATGAAATCTCCTATCTATAAACCAAGCCCACGGTATATTAGAATGTCTTTAAATGATAAATTTACAGCTCCTATGGTGACATATAGATCATTTACTAAAATATGACTTCACATTTAAAGGGAACTGTTACCCTTGGGAGATTTTTATAGGGCCCAGTTATGCAAATCTTTATTTCTGCTCTTG